AAGGCATGGAAGAAGAAGGGTGAATACACGCCATTCCCACCAGCTCCTACTCTTAGCAAGGTACATCCTATGATTTCTTTCAAGCTGAATTGTATTGCGTTTTTTCCAGATCGATAAGCAGTTGGAAAGTGGAGAATATTTTATGACCGAACGAGAACGTTTATTGAACAAAAAGAGGTTTGTATCGCATGCCTTGAACCGCGAGTTTTCTATGTTTTCACAATATTTGCTGCCTTCGATTTAGGAAGAAAGTTGAGGCAGCCGCAATGAAATCGGAAGATCGTAAAAAGGAAAAGTTGAAGAAATTCCAGCCACCGGCTGAAAAAGTAGGTTCTCTTGCGCTGGTTTTACAAGTATAATCAGCTCTCTCATTTGTATCCTTTTTTCAGCCAAGAGAGAAACAAACAAAGAAACGAGAAGCAGGAGAATTAGACCTTGAGAAGATTAAGAAAAAAGTTGAAAAGCTCGCAAAGTGATCCTTTTCTTTATACCCTTGTTATGTTTTGTATAGTCGGTCCTTGTTTACATTGTTGTCGTTACATTATTGATAGAATGTCAAATTGCTAAGATATACATTAGAAGAGCACTCATGATTTTGTTGACGCAGTTCTTCAACAATGATTAACTTTTTCAAGAAGATCTGACGCGTTCTTCAAATGAGTAACACTATATAAGCTGGACGTCATGTTCGCGCACAGTAGAGCAAATATGGCCGCGTTTCAAGTACAGTAGACGTCATCCTTCTAGTCACCTCGGCGCAATGTGTGTCAGTGCACACAAATCTGAAATCCAGGATGAGACGCTGGGGTCCCGCCGGCACTTACACCTAGTGCGCAATACGGCAGATTTAACGCCAAACTGCTTGTTTTTCATATTTTATGCTTTTTTCCTTCTTAGCTTCACACGATCTACGTTTCTATTATTCATCATTGTATGTCGTGTATGTGTTTTATAAGGAATTTCTCAAAATTTATCGCCTTTACTTCTAAGGAGGAAGATGAGCAATCTTACAGTGTTTTGAAGTAAGCCTGCTATCTTTAGTATTGCCGTATGCAAATAGAGTAGAATATTTTTTATGCAGTACGATTTTCAACTTGCTTCCCAATATCGAAAATGTTGGTGTCATTCAAATTCTATTGAGAAGTTCTTCAAGTCGATAGTGGAACTGCTCCAGAAACTCGTATTGTCTATGGCACATCCTACCCTTTCTACATATGACGATAGTGAAGAAGGTAGACTCTCGTCTGCACTCCTTACCTAGAAGTAAACGGTAAATTCCAAGATACTCAACATAAAACGGCATGCACGACAGATGAAAGTGACAAATCATCGAAACGTAGACCGTCGTGAAGCTAACAATAAGAAGGAAAAAAGCATTTAAATATGAAAAAATAAGCAGTTTGGAGTCAAATTTTAGCCGTACTGCGCACTTGGTGTAAGTATGGACGTGAGGCGGATCCCGGGGAATTCAAGGGAAAAGAGGACCCCGCACTCAAAAAGAGACCACAAACAAAATCCCAAAGAGAAGACAAGGTAAAATGAAAGGTTCAGTTAAATTCCCACCTTTCAAAGTTGATCCTCGCTTTGATGAAATTGGGCTCCACGTCTTCGCACTTGGGGTTGCGAGTGCCACGCGGGTCGCTGAACTAATGATAAGTACCGACTCACGTCCGTACTTACACGTATATAGCAACAGAGAATACCAAGGCACACTCAAGGTAGTTGCGGAGAAATCGCCGGTGCACCAATAACAAAACAACACAACGAAATACGAGAACAAAATGCGAGTAGCGATCAACAGTAAGTGAGTACCACGAACAATCTGATACGAGAATCTTCAATGGGCAAATAACGTGA